CGTTCCACCAAGCATGGTCAAATTGCCAACAATCAATTAAAAATAACAATGAAATCTCTTTTTCATGTCATCCCAGGCAAGAGTCAAGAGATGCTCCAGGTAAGAGGAAGCATTCTGAGAAGTTTCCTGGAAGCTTGTGAATGCCCATTATGCGGGCACTTGTAAGAGACAAGTGCAACTGTGACTGACCAGTGCACATTGGTTTTATTTAATGTTTCCAATTTAATTTTTACTTCATATTACTCAAACCTAGCCTATACTCAAAAGGCAACCAGGTAAAAATGACATCTTATTCAACAGAGTTGCTCCAGCTAAAGTACCCAAGTATTTCAAAGTTTCTAAGGAAGTCCCAGATTTCATGTCCGCCAAAACTGACTGAAATAAAAGTTTGATTTCCACCGTAAATGTTCCTGTGGCACCAGGCATTTTCCTACACTGCATTATTTCACATGGGTTAATCAGATATGCCAGAAGCATTATAACTGTCACTCTGCATCACCAATTAGGCAGGCCATCCACAGGGCTGCACCAGGCAGTTACATTAACTAGAACAGGAAGTAGTACAGACTTCTCACAGTTCTTGGAGGTCTGTGGAATGTCTGGGACTGGGAAGTTGATACCCAAAAGCTGCTTGCTTTAGCTCCATTATAGGTGTTCAAAATCATATCTGCTAACCGTATTGTGTTTTTATTGCATTTAAGTCCTATTAGTACCTCAAAGTCTATCCAGCAGTGAAAGAAAATGAGGTGAATTCTATTCTTTCTTGAGCACTCTATCCACAGAATTATGTATTAACTTGCACCTGCATGCAGTAGTGTCACTCAGAGCAGAATACGCCCTGAAATGCCTGTGTAGCTGACAATGTTACATAAAGGAAAGAAAACTAAACCGTCTTACAGATAGCAGGGCTGACATATTTTTTTACTCATAAACAGATGGCATTTGAATAGGAAGTTACTAAAACACTAAAAACTGGAACCATTTATACAAAGCAGACTTGCGATTTCAAGTACAGTAAAAGCCATGTTAACCAGCAGGAATGGGGTAAGGCGGGGTACTGGCTATCTACAAATTCTGGTCATCTAAGGCAGGAGTTTTCAACCTTTTTTGAAAGCCCCTGCAGACCAGAACAGCAGGGAGAGGTGGGGGACAGCAGCAGCAGTGCAGGGTGGTGGGTGACAGTGGCCGCACGCGAGCTTTCCCCTTCCCCCACCCCTGTGGTCGGCCGGAAATTCCAATTAATAAAGTATTCTGGATAGTAGAATTACAGTTAACACAGCTTTTACTGTATTTTGCACTGAGCATCATAAACTGATCAAGTAAACATAAAATTAACTTTTCTGTTATTAGCAAGGAGCAGAAAATCCCCCAAACTTTGGAAAAGTTAGGATCTTGCTGTGAATCTCACAACTGTTGCCAATTTCTCTGACAACACACTGAAATGCTACATTCTCAACTAGGGGTGTACCGATAGAGAATTTTTGGGCTGATACCAATGGCCGATTTTTAACAAGCCGTATCAGCCGATATCAATCCAATTCTGATATGCAGCTGGGCAGTGTAGAGAGTGGCATCTGGCTGGTATGTCTTTTGTGGGGGAAAGGATGAGGGGGAGGGAAGGGGGGGCAGATCAAGGCCCCCACGGTGAAGGAAGGGGTGGGGATGGGACAGGTGCTGCACAGCCGAGGCAGAGCGGGGGACGGAGCTGCGAGCGGCTTGCCTAGGGGACATGGGGGGGGGCAGCTCCCGCTGCTACATGCACCCCAGGAGGGCATGGGGGGCATGTGCCCTCGGATCTACATGTGGGGCAGAGCACGCTGCTGCTGTGGGCTGGGGCTGAGGTGGTGCCGGTCTCTTCTTGGTGGAGGCTGAGCCGGGCTGTGCTTGGGACAGGCAGCAATGGTGCTGGGGGATGGGGGCTGCAGTCGCATCAAAATTTGCCGTAGCCCCTCCAATCCTCCCCCCCAGCACCATCTGTCCCGTGCACAGTCCAGCCCAGCCCCAGAAAGAAAAACCTCAGAGCTGCCCAAGCCCCAGCCTAAAGCAGCAGTCCACCCTGACCCGTATGCAAATCAGGGGGCACATGCCCCTCATGCCCTCCCAGGGTGCATGCAGCAATGGGAGCCACCCCACCCCAACAGGCTGCTTGCAGCTCTGTTCTCTGCTCCACCCCAGCTGTGCACTGCCTGCCCCTGCCCCTGACCCAGCCCCA